ACTCATAGGAAATAATTCAGATTTTTCTGTTTTTTTTATTTTTTTGCCCCACGCCTTATTTTATAATTTTATAATAGATTCTGACCAAAAGTAAGAAAGCATTAATTATCAATTCTTTAAATTTCAATATAAACTAATTTTATGATAATACTTGCTCTGGAAACTAGTTGCGATGAAACCAGCATCGCCATTTTAGAAAATAAAAAGGTCCTCAGCAATATTACCGTTTCCCAAATATTGGAACAACAAAAATACGGCGGAGTAATGCCAAGTTTGGCGGCTAAATTACATTTAAAAAATATCCAAAAAGTCCTTTCTAATGCTTTATCAGAAGCCAAAATCCCTCCCAAAAAAATTGATTATATTGCTTACACCGAAAAACCCGGACTAATCATCTGCTTACAAATTGGCAAAATAGTTGCCGAAACGCTCTCTTTATACCTCAACAAACCACTTATTCCCTGCAACCATTTGGAAGGTCATATCTATGCTAGTTTAATAAACAAGGAAGAAGAATGAAAATTCCCAGTTTTGACTCTAATTATCAGTGGTGGTCATACTCAAATTTACCAACTAAATAATCATTTGGAATTTATTCTACTTGGAGAAACTCTTGACGATGCGATTGGTGAATGCTTGGACAAATCGGCTATTCTACTAGGTTATAATTATCCGGGTGGCCCAATTATTGAAAAACTTGCTTTGAAAGGAGAAAATAATTATAAATTACCTTTTCCCAAAAATGATGAGAGTCTTGATTTCAGTTTTAGCGGCTTAAAAAGTGAAATTAGTCGGTTAGTTAGCAAGAAAGGGAAAAATTTAAATGCTAATAATTTGGCTTGCTCTTTGCAATATATTTTGGCCGAAATACTAGTAAAAAAACTAAAAAAAGCCTGAGCACTTACCTATCCCAAAACTATTATTATTGGCGGGGGAGTAATTGCTAATAACTTTTTAAGAAATTACTTAACCAAAAACCTAAAAAAATGAGATAAAGAAATAAAAATATTCATCCCGGAAATCAAATATTCGACTGATAACGCGGCCATGATAGGGATTTTGGCCTATTATAAAATTATAAAATAAGGCGTGGGGCAAAAAAATAAAAAAAACAGAAAAATCTGAATTATTTCCTATGAGT